AAAAAAAAAAAAAACACTCACAGAAACGTAAGTGTTATGCACAGTCGCAGGCTACCGAAATACTGGAAATGTGTGGGAGTTTTGTATAACTCCTGTCAAGCCTATTCACTCTTAGTGTCACTTAGGCTTCAGTTTCATACTTAGGGAAACTCCTTACTGAACATGGGCTTTTTTAAAACAATTTCCACTTATATAAGCTCAGTTTTTTTTGCCTTTCTTTTTTATGCGTTTTTGCATATATGCAAATGCGAAAACGCACATTGCGACGACCCCGGTGTATGTGTGGGTGTGTGGGTGTGCGTCTGTCCGGGTATTTCAACTCGGCGCCCAAGCAAGCTCCGGCGCTAAAATTTTGTCGGTGAGTTCCCCAGCCAAGTGCCGCTCCAGGACCGCGGTACCAACCTTTACGCAAGTCTGGGCCCCGCGTACGAGAGGATGAAACTTTTGGCGGGGAAATCGCGAACTCAGGAACCAAAAAAGCTAGAAAGCCGAAATTTTCAGGTCATGTTTCCCTTCATATGGAACTCAAAGATTTCAGATTCAGCCTCCAGGTGTGCGTGGTACCTGCGTATGGCCCCGTGAGAGTTCCTGGCACGAAAATCGCTAACTCGGAAGCCAGGAAAGCTCGGAGGCTGAAATTTTCAGGGAATGTTCTCAGCACAAGTACAACTTAAGATCATTGAATTCAGCTCCTAGGCGCGCGTGGTTGTCACGTACGATCCCGTGAAATTTTTTGGAGGGAAAATAGCTAACTCGGGGAGTAGGAAAGATGGGGGCTGAAATTTTAAGGGTATGTTCCTAGCCCCCATAAAAGTTAAAGATATCAAATTCAGCTTCCAGATACGTGTGGTACGAACTCACGAAATTTTTTGACAGAAAAATTGCTAGCTCTAGAACGGAGAAGTTGGAAAGCTAAAATTTTAGCGGAATTTTCCTTGTCCAAGTACCGCGTAGGCAGTTAACTCCCCGAACTTCGAGGATCTGTATGTCATAAATTCTAGCTACTAGGTTTCCGAGCGATCTCATTACAACACTAAATACTGCGAAAACGCATGTTCGCACGAGTCCGCCCGGTGCACGTCGCCAATGATTTTTGCTTTTATTCATAATTTTCGATCCTTTGTTTTTATGTATTTTTGCATATACGCAAGTTGGAAAAACGCATATTGGCAAGAGGTTGTTTGTGTGTGCGTGTCTGTGCGTTCGCACTTTTTTTCATCCACTTTCAACTTGAGAATCAGAAAAGCTAGAGAGTTGAAAATTAAAGTTATTGGGATACATTCAGACAATGAGTGCAGCTATGCCGGTTTCGTTTCCAACGTTGTCCTTGTTGTGATTACAAGTATGAAATCTTTTTTTTTAATCTAATTTTTCCTGCTGGCTCATGCAACCATAAACTAACCTATTAGTGGACAGTCACTGAAGTGCAGCTGCAGTTTACGGCCTTGTGCGATGCCAGCTGTAAGTGGTGCACATTTAAGCCATAAACACTGATAAGGCCAGTGGATATTGTCTTTCGTCTTCCATTCTCTTCTCCAGCTCCTTTTCCACCCGCCCACGTTTTTTCCCATTCCAGCATATAAGCTTTAAGTTTTCTGGCAATCAAGTTTTATTCCTTACACGAACTTCATAGCTCT